ACCGAAGCTGTGCCACCGTACGTTTAGTTCTTTTTTACGGTTTTGATGCCTCAAATCTGCGGGTAAAACGTATCCATCAGATGGCAGTCTATGCTTATATGATTCGGTCCATGTGGGATGGATTTGGCAGGTTATATATGTGTACGTAAGTGGTCATGTATGTATGTATCTAGTAAATGTTTGCTATCACATCTAATTCAGTTCAACAGGCTTCGCTGATTATGACAAGTTTTGCGCTGTTTTGCCTTCCTCCAGCCATTGGGACACTTGTGAACAGTTCCTATTGTGTGCAATGGACAATGGCACCAACTGTGGTCAAGCCCAAGGCGATTCCAACACTGTCGCTCGTTCACACACCCCGCTTGGTAGAGAAAAGCTCCATGTGATCGATTCGGTTGATTCGAATGGAGATTTAGAATCGAAACCGTACGGGCCACTGACACAAGAAGAAGCAGAAGAACTTCAGCGGGAGGCCAATGAGGACACAACGCGAAGTGAAGATTTGCGGCAGTTCCTTAAGGTTAGTTTTTGGTAGTCTTTCGTGTTTTTATTTGCTCTGTTATTATTATGATTCAATGTGTGACCAGCTTCACAAGTTCCGTCGTCTAATGACTGTTCACGGCCCACCACTGAGAACAGGAATTTGGTTCCCTCCCTGGCAGGTTAACAGTTGAAGTTTCATCGTTAGCTAGTCAAAAAGCCAAAGGAAACTTGACGCAGTCATGTAGTTCTTTTATGTCACGAAAGCACTGTTCACTAACGAAAAAAATACCATAACAGAAAAACAGTAAGTAATCGAGGTATTTTTTCGCTTTCCGGGGGCGTGCTCCATGTCCCAACTTGCAACGTTCTTATCCTTTTTTATTGCACACCTTGACGTGATAAACGGCAGACAGTAAACCCCATAGTCACGAGGAGCCACTGTTCAGTGATGGAAACCGGTAACCTTAGCCCGGCACTTGGAGTGGCGAACCACAAAAGTTAAGGCGTGATATTGAACCGGACGACATCAAGGCTGCTTACCACCATAGCCTTTCACTCTTGGTCAGAGATAGCTTCACTGAGCTCCTACGCAGTTGAATATCCCAAGTTGTCGAACTTAGATCACGTGTCATGCAACCGAACAGCTCGGTTTTATTAACCTCACTTCGGATCGGCTGATTTGTCTTTTGGCTACTCATTCTAATTAATCAATATAAGGAAGAATTAAAAAGCTTGATGTAGAACCGGGATCGCGAATTCAAATTACGAAGATACGCAATAGCTTCACGAGTGTCGTATCACCCAATGTCTAACTACTGATTCGACCGATGACAAGGTCTCTAACCGGTAGGCGTATTGCAAACTAGATGTCCAATTACCCTCTATGTGGGGTTCTAGGTTGATCGACTTTGACTTTCTTCCATCCTGTGCGTTCCTCAGTAAGCAATATTTGCCGAGAATGTTTGTATTACGCACGCATCCTGTTCCAAACTGTGGGTGGAATAAAGCCAAGGGTGGTCAAAATAAGACCTGGCACGAGGGTATGAAAACGCTAAACAGGAAACTGGGCCACATAGGTCCAGTTAGGCTCCCTGGACGGGGACTTCGGGATGACCGTAACCAATGTTTAGAGACACTGAGTAATATGGCTGGGTGTCTTACACAGTGGCGTGCGTGCATCTCAATTTCTTTGCACCCATAGTTTATTGGAGTTTTCATTTTTCTCGTCGACTTTATTATCAACCTTCCTGTCTTTCTCCTTTTGTTCATCCAAACGGGCAGCCAAAAGACAGCAACGAAAACCGGCGCACGAGAGTGCTTGATTGATAGTTGTATGTACAAGCTGAACTGAACTGGCAAGCGAATTACAGTATAATAATCGTTATAATAAGCGATGTGGCAGAGACAGTGGTGTTCGTACACCATTAGTTTATCCTAACATTCATCGCATAAAGGGCATGTCTCTACACCCTACATGAGAGCCGACCGGACAGTACAGCAAACACTGCACCCTTCACGGACTTCGTAATGTTTTGGTTGCACCATAGTTGTCTCTAGTTTCTAAATACCAGTAAAAGCATTCTCTATGCGTGCCGAAACTTCTTCGTCGGTGATACGCCTGCCAGGTAAAGTGTAGCTGGCAATGAGATTCACTCGTTTTACTGTTCCTCACTTTAAGAGACGTAATAGAAAATTCCCTTTCGTGTATGAGGGGGCATCATTTAAAAATGAATAGACGGCTAGGACTGATCATCTGTTTCGCACCCCACTAAGCTAGCTTTAATCAGGAGGTCATTTCG